AGACAGACAGAGAGTCAGACAGACAGACAGAGAGTCAGACAGACAGACAGAGAGTCAGACAGACAGACAGAGAGTCAGACAGACAGACAGACAGACAAACAGAGAGAGAGAGAGTCAGACAGACAGAGAGACAGACAAACAGAGAGAGAGAGAGAGAGAGAGAGAGAGAGAGAGAGAGAGAGAGAGAGAGACAAACAGAGAGAGAGAGAGAGAAAGAGAGAGAGAGACAAACAGAGAGAGAGAGAGAGAAAGAGAGAGAGAGACAAACAGAGAGAGAGAGAGAGACAAACAGAGAGAGAGAGAGAGACAAACAGAGAGAGAGAGAGAGAGAGAGAGAGAGAGAGAGAGAGAGAGAGTCAGACAGACAGACAAACAGAGAGAGAGAGAGAGGGAAAGAGAGAGAGAGAGAGAGAGAGAGAGAGAGAGAGAGAGAGAGAGAGAGAGAGAGAGAGAGAGAGAGAGAGAGAGAGAGAGAGTCAGACAGACAGACAAACAGAGAGAGAGAGAGAGAGAGAGAGAGAGAGAGAGAGAGAGAGAGAGAGAGAGAGAGAGAGAGAGAGAGAGAGAGAGAGAGAGAGAGAGAGTCAGACAGACAGACAAACAGAGAGAGAGAAAGAGGGAGAGAGAGAGAGAGAGAGAGAGAGAGAGAGAGAGAGAGAGAGAGAGAGAGAGAGAGAGAGAGAGAGAGAGAGAGAGAGAGAGAGAGAGAGAGAGTGAGTCAGACAAACAGACAGACAGAGGAAGAGAGAGAGCGAGAGAGAGAGAGAGAGAGAGAGAGAGAGAGAGAGAGAGAGAGAGAGAGAGAGAGAGAGAGAGAGAGAGAGAGAGAGAGAGAGAGAGAGAGTCAGACAGACAGACAAACAGAGAGAGAGAAAGGGAGAGAGAGAGAGAGAGAGAGAGAGAGAGAGAGAGAGAGAGAGAGAGAGAGAGAGAGAGAGAGAGAGAGAGAGAGAGAGAGAGAGAGTCAGACAGACAGACAAACAGAGAGAGAGAGAGGGAGAGAGAGAGAGAGAGAGAGAGAGAGAGAGAGAGAGAGAGAGAGAGAGAGAGAGAGGGGGGGGGGGGCACTTCCGCTCGGGAGACGGGCGGGCGAACGAGGCAATGGCGGCTTCCACACTTTCAAACGAGGCGACCTCTTGTTTACTCTTTGTTTAACTCAGAACTAAATCTTCTGTTCAATATTGCCATACGCGTGTCTGTGCGTATGGCAATAGCTGCATGTTAGGGAGGTTAGTCCTGCAGCGCAACGTATAAATGTTTGGCACAATTTACGTGGGATAATCACCATAAAATGATATAATAAAATTTCGAAACGATCTGCGTGATTCTTATTTCTCATGCAAAAGAAAAAAAAATCCCACATTTTCCCAACTTACATTATCGATCTTAAAAATTTGACCACGACCTATTCAGCTATTTATCCAAAGCCTACAGTTATTTCCTACATCAGGGCTATTCAACTATTATGAGCTCCGCTCCATGGTGTTCCTATATATTTTTATTCATTTCATGTTCACTCTTTGACTTAGTTATACAAAATACAAAGCTAACTAGTGGATGTAAAAATATTAAATTTTGTAGCTAAAACATAACAAGAATATTTTTCTCTCAAAACAACTGAAATGGAAAATTTTCAAGTGGAAAAACATACATTTACTGTTTAGTGCATTGCTGCTTCATTTTATTGAATTATACTTTTCTTTTCCTGGAGCCTGGGGCCCCGCTACAGCACTCAGACGATCCGGATTCGGACCGCGGGCGTAGTTGAGTAGCCCTCGCCCACACGCAGGAGCGCCGGAACGAGCGTCGGCGCCTCTCCCCTCGGCCCGACGCGCGACCGCGGCGTGACGCGCACACGCTTCGTTGAACGCAAATGCAGAGGATATCATGATCGATCAGAAATATATTGCATACGGAGACAATGACCTACATCTCGTCATGCACTGATCATGATGTAATAATCTACCTCGTTGCAAGTGTGTATATCTGTAACCACAATGTTAAAATTTAAATAATCAATTGCTGCGACTTTGCTTTCTCTTTCAGCGGCCTCAGGGAGTCCCCTCGTGGCCCAGAATACGCAACTATTTACTACTCAACCTAGTTATATATTATGCGACTGCTATCATTAATTCTACTATTACTACTACTACTACGATCACTGCTTATACACTTCTTATACACGGGCTATGCCAATGAAGGAGCTCGGCCTGTGCCGCCTCGATCTGTGTCTGCCACACAGATCGACTGAGCTTAGTCCTTGCCCACCGTGGCCAGCCACAGTAGTAAAACTCTCGCGCTTTAAGGATAAGTCCTATATGCAAAGCTATGAAGGGATCCTGGCCTGTGTCGACTAATGCCGACTCGCTAACGTGTGTCAGCTGGTGCTGACTTGGCTTAGTCCTTACCCACCGTGATGCTCAGCCACAGCAGTAACCTCCAGGCGACAATTGCAACTTCTCGCGCCTGGGCGGGGCGCGAACCGCCGACCCCTCGGATGAGAGGCCGACTCGTTACCACCTACTTTTCGCGCCTTATCCTTTTTGCTTTTAGTATCAACAAACACTGTTAAAAGGCGTCGCCGCGCCGGCCCGACGAGCGACGCGTTGCCACGCCTCCTGCCTCCTTGTTTATTTCGGT